ACTATTTTTTTTAAATTTAGGGTTTTGGGGGGTGTAAATAAATACTTTTCCTGCAATTCCACACTCATGACCAATTTTTTTTAAGTGTTTTTAGGAGAGGTCATTTACTGCTCCAGTGTTGTTATTTAAAGGTTTAAAAAAAAAAATGTGACTTTTTCTTCTTCTTCGCGTTCACTGGCTGTAAACTCCGACGGAAAGTTCTGGTTTTTCATCTACAACTGGACTTTAATTCTTGATCCAGTTTTGCGTGTACATCAGTTGGTTCCTTCTTGGGCAGATGTACTCCAACTTCGAAGGTAGCCCCCAATTAGACAACATGCTTGTTGGGGAGGCAGTGAATCTGTTCGTTTTCCCCCCTATAATGGGAATTCCCATGCATGCTCCGTCCTCATCTTCAGCAGCCAGCGCAGAGTTCCAATACTGATGTTACCGAACAGTCTGGTTATATGCCTATCTTGCCTTTCCTCTAGAGTGTAGTGAGCCTTCCAGACCCTCTGGTTACAGGTGCCTCATTTTCTCCAGGCCATAATAACCTTGTTTCACTACTGACCGTTGCTTGATCCCACAGGGCCTTGACCACATCTGCCTTGTCATGTATCAATTGACCACCCAGTGGTGCAGATCCAGCCAATCTGTCTGCCTGTTCATTACCCACTATGCCGGCATAGCCTAAAGAAAATATCCAAAGTAGGCTCACTACCCATGACCTTCTCAGTGAAGCTTGCCATTCTGCTCGAAGCATTACTGCCTTCACCTTTCTCAGCATGCTTTCATAGTCGGTTACAATTACTACATGCGCATGCATCTTGTTCTCTAGCTAACAGTGCAGAGGCACAAACAGATCATTACGGTCTAGGGGAATGGCGCTGCAGGGAGTTACCAGGGGATCTGGCCGCCGCTCAACTCTTTGGGGAAGGGCGATACGCATATACAATCAGTTACTGGTGTCATTGGAAGTGGAACTCTTTGCTTGCTGCTTAAGAAAGGGACGAAGCACTTATGGAGGTGTGCCGAGGGCTGTGATGTTGATTCCTAATTCAGCACTGAGAAAATTAAAGAGGGATTGTTGCATTCTGAAAGAAACCAAATATAAAATCAGATAAAAGATAAAATCAGCAGCATAGTGAGGGAGTATCTACTTTTTTGTGTATCCTATCTGGCAGAGACTGTCACTCCCACATCCAACTTGACAGTCACCACAAAGGGGAAATTGTTTCATGTCCCATCCATCAGACAGACCAGTGTTCTCCAACTTTTTCCTACCCATGGCCCACTACAGTGGAACATCAAACAACTAACCAGTCTTCTCCAAGCTTTTATACCCATGGCCCACTAAAAGGGGAAACTGTTTCACGTCCAGTCTGACAGCTAACCAGACTTCTTCTTTTCTTCCAGCTTGTACCTCTGCGAAGTGTCGGGTGAAGATGAGATGTAACGTTCGTTGATGAGCTCTGTCAAGAGCAATATTAAGATTTTTTGTTTATTTCTGTAAAGCTGTTACTAATGCCATCACTCCATATTTCCGAGGTCTTCCACTCGCTCTATATCCGTTGTAACGTTTTAGTGTGGCTCACTGTGGCAGATAGTACCAGGGCATTTTTGTTAGGTGTCCAAATCACTTCATTTGTTGTTCTTTGATGACTTGTAAGAATGGCTTTATTCCTAGCATTCGTCTGATTTCGTATTCTGTCTTTCCTTGAAACTCCTGCAGCTCTTCTAAGGCATTTCATCTCTGTTGTCACAACTTTACGTTTATTAGAGGATGTAAGTGTCCACGTTTGGCACTGATAGCATAGTGTTGGCCAAAAAATAGTTCTGATAAGATTCACTTTAGTACTCCAGGATATCTGATTGTGTTTCAACAGGGAAGATAGTTGCCCCATTACTTGATTAGCTTTAACACATCTCGAGCTAATTTCTCTGTCCAGTCTTCCGTCGGATGTGAAAAATGCTCCCAAATACTTAAATTCCTGTCTGTCTTAAAGTGTTGTTTTTAAATTTTATTTCTAAATGGTCTTTCTGTCTTATCACCATTGTCTCTGTAAGCAGACACAAAACCAAATGTTTACGTCTTTGTTTACTCAGTATTAATCCAATGTCACAGAATTACCACTTTCAGCCGATATCATATATTTGAGGTTTTAATCTTCCATACTGCAAACCTGGAAAAGAAAAACCCACCTACCCTACCCAGATACATGATTAGGGAGACATTTTTTTTTTTTTATCTGGACTTGTTCTGCCTCCCATATGTTGAAGAACATTGTTCTGGGGCTGATGTACATGGGGAGGGGGGGAGGGGGGTGAGCAGCTCTACTTTCCATCCTGGAAAATACAAGGTCTGGTGTCCATCCATCTAGAGGCAGGCTGGCTGGACCGAACTCCCAACCCCCTTCCTATATCACACTTGTTAAAAAAAAAAAAACTTTCCTATGCTGGTGAATGAACTGGGACCACTGTTGGCTGGTAATTAAACCGGGACCGCGGTCTTAGGTGGTGATTAATTTGGGACCACGGTCTTGACTGGTAATTAAACCGGAACCACGGGCTTGGCTGGTGATTAAACTGAGACTACTGCTCGGCTGGTAATTAAACCAGGACCACTGCTTGGCTGGTAATTGAACTGGGACCGCGGTCTTATCTGGTAATTAAACTGGGACCATGGTCTTGGCTGGTAATTAAACTGGGACCACCGTGGTCTTGGCTGGTTATTAAACTGGGACCACTGTCTTGGCTGGCAATTAAACTGGGACCACTGCTTGGCTGGTAATTAAACTGGGACCACGGTCTTGGCTGGCAATTAAACTGGGACCACTGCTTGGCTGGTAATTTAATTGGGACCACGGTCTTGGCTGGTAATTAAACTGGGACCACTGCTTGGCTGGTAATTAAACTGGGACCACGGTCTTGGCTGGTTATTAAACTGGGACCACGGTCTTGGCTAGTAATTAAACTGGGACCACGGTCTTGGCTGGTAATTAAACTGGGACCACTGCTTGGCTGGTAATTAAATCTGACACTATATATACCAAGCATTTTGTTATCAAGTCAGCAAACAGGGCCAAAAAAAAACCACAACACACTGCTGTAACAGATGGTTTTTTTTAATATCCAATCATAGCCTGAACTCGTTACAAGTGCCGAAGTTTTGTCCTACTAGATACTCCGATAATTCACAAAGAGGATAGGTAAATACTTCAATAAATAATACAATATAAAATAAACAAACTCAGCTTGCTATAAGAGAACGTAGACTCAGCTTTTTGTCACTGACAAATGGTACAAAATATTTGATTTCACCTCTGACTGGCAGTAGACAGCCGCTCTCAACTCTTTCAGTCTCATGCAATGTTTACGTCAACACATTTCCTACCTCAAAGCGTGTGTGGTTACAGTAACAGACTTGAGTCTTCATGGGATAAACCATCAAGTAGAATGAATGAAAGTCTTCTTTAGCTAACACTGGTCATACGCTCAATCCACTAAATACCACTAATTGGGATATTAGCTCAAGCTCTTTTAAGTTTTCTCTAGTCATCGGGTATTCTGGACGGGGCCAAATGTCGTTGGGTAGCTCCTTCAGGAGAGGACAGTCTTGCGAGACAGGTTGTGAGATTTGTTCAGTATAAAGACAGTGGCAGACATCTGTTTGGCTTACACTTTATTTAAGCATTTGATGAGCTTGCAATGTCCAGTGAGTTATTGGGTCATCCGTGTGGATGCCACGGTCCCCATGGGGAGTGAAGATGGGTAGACTCATTGACTTCTTAAGCATGAAGTAAAAAGTGACTAATTAAGGAATCGATGAAATCGGACGTGTTAGGCCGAAAGGCTCATATATTGCAGCCTAGCTGTAAGCCACAACACAATGTGCCTACTATCCTGTCAAGGGCGAATGCAGAAGCATGAATGGGTTAACACAGTATCAGAATTAAATGTATTTAGAAATATATTTTATGTTTTAAAAAAAGAATCTACAAACTTATGAGTTTGTTGCTGAAAGAATTAGTCCGGGGCTATAACTGCTACACCATTTACTACTAATCACATAAGAGAAACATACAACACATATTCCTGTCAAACATTAACATTCCTGGACTATCCAAACACAGAAGACAAGATCATCAGTAGTCTATACATCGCAAACAGCGTTCAGATAAAATGACAGTCCAATTAATGAAAAACAATGCAAACTTGTTCAAATTTTTTAAAGCTGTTAACAAGCCTTTAAATCTTTAGAATCTAAATACTTGAGATGGTGTGTTTTTCAAACAAGCACCACAGAGGAACTTGACAGCTGTCGTAGTTGGTTTCCTCTAGCCGAATGGTTTTGGGCCTAAATCCACAGAGGTGGATTTTTATGAACTAACCTCAAATGACCACCACAAAATTTCTCGGGAGGTGATGGTAGATGGAAGAATGTTTACCACACCAAAAGTGAATTGCCATGTGGTCTATAAAAAAAAAATATGGCTCTAGAAACATTTGCAGAAGTGTCAAAGCTATGAAAAAGGTTCTTTTATAATTTATAAATAATTCTTCCAAAGAGGAACTTGTAAGTATCAACTGAGAGTGGGTCACCTCAAATGTCCAAATCCTACAGAGGAACTGTAAAGAGGAGAAACAACAGTAAACAAACACTATATTCATCCCCCACACTCCCTCTTCTAACAGATACGATGAAATGAAGAAATAAATCAATCTAATTGAAGCACATTGAAATCAAGACAAACTAGAGACCCCTCACTCTATTCCCTCAATTACTGATGGAACTACAACAGACTTGGTTGAGGAACATTCCCCACTGCAACATATCTGACTAGCAAATTTTCAAACAGCACATCTCTCTTCTCTATTGGCCGAAACACCTCAGGTGGCAACTGGGGACCAAAACAAAACAAAAAGAACAAACAAAAAAATCACATACATAGCAGTTGTAAGAAAATGAGAAACAAAATGTTCATATGTTCAAATGGTTACTATACTAAGTCCACACAGCCTTAGGAGCATTCCTCCGCTGCTTCGATGTCCTGTACTGTCGACTCTGTCACTGCAGACAAGAAAAATGTCATAAACAAACTCTACAGACACAAGACAAATGTCAATACAAATAAACCCTGCAGACACCAGACAAATGTCTATAAACAAACCCTGCTGACACCAGACAAATGTCAATATAAACACAACCTGCAGACACCAGACAAATGTCAATATAAACACAACCTGCAGACTCCAGACAAATGTCAAAACAAACACAACCTGCAGACACCAGACAAATGTCAATACAAACACAACCAGCAGACACCAGACTAATGTCTATAAACAAACCCTGCAGACACCAGACAAATGTCAATACAAACACAACCTGCAGACACCAGACAAATGTCAATACAAACACAACCTGCAGACACCAGACTAATGTCTATAAACAAACCCTGCAGACACCAGACAAATGTCAATACAAACACAACCTGCAGACACCAGACAAATGTCAATACAAACACAACCTGCAGACACCAGACAAATATAGGTGACTGGATCACCCACTGGCTCATCGGTAGATCATTTTGCTGCTGGTCGGGGCAGTATTTGGGGCTGTCTCCCTTGATCGCAACACTGCAAGTCAGTTGCAGGGCTCTTGGTGGTGTGCAACGATAAGCTATTTTATATGGCGCACATAAACTAGTCACAGTTATAACCTAAAGCCTCCCCCCCCCTGGGTTTGTGGCTGAATGTGATGATTTTTTTTAAGCAAAGTACCTACCTACCAGAGAAAATTTAAAGATAAATAAAACTCTGCAGTCACAAGACAAATGTCAATAAAACTAAACACGCAGTCACAATACAAATATCAATATAAATAAACCCTGCAGTCACAATAAAACGTCAATATAAACAAACCCTGCGGTCACAAGACAAATGTCAATATAAACAAACCCTGCAGTCACAAGACAAATGTCAATATAAACAAACCCTGCAGTCACAAGACATATGTCAATATAAACAAACCCTGCAGTCACAAGACAAATGTCAATATAAACAAACCCTGCAGTCACAAGACAAATGTCAATATAAACAAACCCTGCAGTCACAAGACAAATGTCAATATAAACAAACCCTGCAGTTACAAGACAAATGTCAATATAAACAAACACTGCAGTCACAAGACAAATGTCAATATAAACAAACCCTGCAGTTACAAGACAAATGTCAATATAAACAAACCCTGCAGTTACAAGACAAATGTCAATGTAAACACAACCTGCACACAGACAAATGTAAGCCTAGTTATCAGTGAGTCATTGACAAAGCATGCGGCTATGATAGTCGGTGTAACTGCAACCCGGCTGTTGTAGTTATTTATGACTAGTGCCACCAGACACCCGTGGACATCTGCAATAGATTTATTGCAACCTCAAATTTCACAAAAATGTTTCCCTACATGTTACTGGTTGCTTCACCTCCACTACTGCCAGTCCAAACCCCAGTGAGATAGTCCATACCAACCATGAGGGCTGGGTCTTGGGCCAGCTCCCACACCCTATCAGTGCAGATCTGATCAGAAGACAACTCTCGGGGACCCAAGAAATGGTTCTTCTTATCAGAAATTCCTCTTATCCAAACAAGAGTTCAAGCAACAAACATTGCCAGGGATAAACAAATTGTTCTTCACAACAGAAATTCACAACTTCTGAGAGCGATCTGCACTGTCTAATAATTTGTCTTCATCGTGATTCTATTACCAGGGAAGGAAGAAAAAAAAAAGCAATTCACAAAAAGATGCCATTCTGACAAATGAACCAGTCAAGGGTTGTGTAGTATGATGACAACAGTCCCATGCAAGCCATCAGCCAGGCATGCCTACGGCTTGGCTCATAAGGAAACAATAAGCAACAGACAGTTGGCTCATAAGGAAACAATAAGCAACAGACAGTTGGCTCATAAGGAAACAATAAGCAACAGACAGTTGGCTCATAAGGAAACAATAAGCAACAGACAGTTGGCTCATAAGGAAACAATAAGCAACAGACAGTTGGCTCATAAGGAAACAATAAGCAACAGACAGTTGGCTCATAAGGAAACAATAAGCAACAGACAGTTGGCTCATAAGGAAACAATAAGCAACAGACAGTTGGCTCATAAGGAAACAATAAGCAACAGACAGTTGGATCATAAGGAAACAATAAGCAACAGACAGTTGGCTCATAAGGAAACAATAAGCAACAGACAGTTGGCTCATAAGGAAACAATAAGCAACAGACAGAACAGAATGGAGGATTCTTCTTCTTCGCATTTAAAGGCTGTGAACTCTGACGAAAAGCCCTGGTTGTTCATCCACTTTTAGACTTTGGACTTGTTTGTTCCAAAATGTTGAGTTTTGTTGCACATCTGGCTTATTTTGGCAGACTGTTGGCTCCTCGGAGCATGCAGGTGCACTTTGACTTCAAATGAAACATCAATCCTACCTAGGCTCGTCAGGTCCCCGTCTGGGAACCTGTGAATTGAGGAAATCTCTGATTTACCAACATGATGACAGGGTGATGATCCTGTCAGACGGCCACGGTTTTTGAAAGACACATATTAGCACTGATTACAGAGCATCTTTGTAGTAAAATGCTAATGCCGTTGCATAGTGCTCTGAAGACTGAGGGTTTGGTTCACAGATTGCATCAAACAGTCACTAATGCAACTGTTTAACCAGATCCCGGTGGACTGTTTCTAGACGAAAATTTTCCGCTTAGTGAGTGACACTCTCAGCAGATACAGACCGAGAAATAAACAGTTCATGAAAAAGTAAAAACTAAGGAGGCTGCAAATGTTACATCAAAACACATGCAGTAGAATCTGCTATAAGGCTATCTGTAATCTTTATTCTGTGACATTAAGGAGGCACTGAAAGAGCTGACAGACTGGCCGCAGTGGTTAGAGGGGGAAGAAATATAGACAGGTCAGACAAAGTGAATGCGCTACTTTCTAGAGAAGTGAGACAGAGACGAACAATGGCATGCTGAAAATGAGGATTAAGAACAAGCAACTATTACTGGGGACAGGTAGTGAGAAGACAATGAGGCAGTTGCTGCATCGGAGGCTAGGGCATGAATGGGTTTGACCAATGAGCGAAGATGTAGATACAGACACCATATAAGATGTCTTGGCTCCTAGTTCAACCTAGTCCAGTGTAAAACGGGTAACAGATAATGCTCTGGGATGGTGACATCACCTGCTGAGTGCCAACTGGTCTTTGAGTCTAGCATTGTATGCCCGATACACCACTGGAGTTTTGAAAAAAAAAAAAGGGGGGGGGGGGGGGGGGGTGGTCATGTAACTGAAGGTATACGTTACCATCAGCATCTCCCTGCATGTCTGACGTCCACAGAGTGAGGTTATCTCTTAGCAGCTGCATGATCAATGTCGAATCCTTGTAGCTCTCTTCACTTAATGTGTCCAACTCTGCTATAGCATCATCAAAAGCTGCTTTGGCTAGTCGGCAAGCACGGTCTGGGGAATTCAGGATCTCGTAATAGAATACTGAGAAGTTGAGAGCCAGGCCCAGACGTATAGGGTGTGTTGGTGCCAACTCTGTCATCGAAATATCACTGGCAGCTTTGTAAGCGACTAAACTTTTCTCGGCAGCTTCTTTCCTGTCATTGCCAGTGGCAAACTCAGCCAGGTACCTGTGGTAGTCACCTTTCCTGAAACAGACAAAAAACACCAGTTGATTAATCTCATGAATAATTTAACAGAAACAACAGGAACAGGTCAGTGTAATTAATAATCCAGTGCAGATCTGATAAGGATAACTTACCGGGGAAATGGTTTTTATAAGAAATTCAGACAATTCAATCAAGAAAAATGGCCAGGAATAAACAACTTGTTCTTAACAGAAATTCACCAAATCCCAGATTGTCTTCAGCGGTCTGCACTGTAAAAATAACCCACAGGGTGAATGTTGAATCACAGACACACAACAGGAGAAAACAGAGTGTGGGCCTATGCTCCATTAGGTGATAACTGGCAGAGGAAGAACAGTATAGTAATACTGCTGATTTGTCTGCCCTCTACAATGCAGTGGCACCTGAACCCAAAGTCAATTTTGCTTTGGATTCTGAAGGTCCTGTGCCTAGTTTCAGACTCTGTTCTTCAGTTCTTAGTACAATAAGTATTAAGAAGCCATGGAGAAAAAGCTGGAGCTACAGAATGCAGTGGTCTGTGTGGCGCTCTAGAGGCAAAAATGCAGCTCTGTGAAGGGGGATTATACCTGGTGCAGTGAAGTGGATATTTTGCCTTACAACATATTTTTCCGAAGAATTATTCATGGTTCTCCCCCATGCCTGCAACCTGAAGCAGAAGAGTGGCTAGAATGTTTAGGCTATCCAAAGAACCAGACCAATGGTAATATTATACAGGACAGACTGGGGAATGAGTACCAAATAGAATAGCTATTGAAACCGCATAAACTAGTCACAGGCTTTATAAAACTGTAACTTTAGCCACTTTTTGACAATATGAAATAATTCGGAGTCCACTATTTGATGCACTATCTTTGAAGAAATAAATAGAACACTTAAGAGCTATACAAATTGCATCCTGATATATGTAAGTGAATCAAGGACAGTTAGACAATTAATGAACAATTATTTGGAAGTAACAGAGATGTGGTTTTATAGACAGACAATGAGTTGTCCACATCAGAAAGAGGCCGTTCGGTCATCATGTCTTGAGGAGAAAATTGGGAGTACTTCGTGATGGTGGGAAAAGTGGAGAGGAAAAGAGGCATAGAAAGACAGAGAGAGAGAAGATGCTGGACAGTCTGACAACATTTCTGTGTCAGAATTGACTGAAGGCAGAAGGTTGTGGACAGGCACGACTACCAACGCCACACTGCATGGACTACAACAAGTAGAATTCATAGAGCAGTGTTTTTGGACATGTTATGAGAAGGAATGGACCTGAAAACTCAGGGATGACTGGCAAATCTGACAGAAAGAGCCCGGGAAAGGTAGGGGGATCAACTCCTGGATGGCTGGGCAATGAGGATAGGGAACAAGAGCAAAGACCTGATCTGTCTTCTTCTTTCAAGTGTTCATTGACTGCAAAACTCTTACAGAAAGTTCTAGTAGTTCATTCACTTCTGGGCTTTACAGACTTGTTCCAGAACTTTTTGAGTTCTGCATGCATACTCATTTTACCGCTTATCTGTGCGTAGACTGCTGGTTCGTCATCTCTCAGGCAGATGCACTCCAACTTTGAGGGAAACGCCCCAAATTAGACTTTTACGACATGCTTGTTAGGGGAGCCCGGGAACCCATACAGGGAGCCCAGTAACCCATACAGGAAGCCTGAACTGCAACTCTGGTGACCACGTGAGATGACAAAACACAACTGTCAAAAGAATCAGCAGGGAACATGATGATGTACTAGAGTGAATTATCTTTTCCTGAAGCAGGTAAGGAGATTCTCCTTACAAGCTAATTCTATTCATATTCAACATTACACACTTTCTTTTGTGAGAAGTTACTTATGTCATGTAAGTTTAAGGGTTCACTCTTTATGTCTGTCTGTTTGGTCTTATCTAATCTCTTTTTCTTCTTCTTCTTTATCCATATATCTATCTATCTACCTATCTATTTACTTTCTCTGCCTAATACTGTTAGGTGTTGCAGGCACGTCTAATGACACGTCCAGGATAATGCACGCTCGTTAGCTTGCTGAATGATGATACTGTTGAGTTTCAACAAGTTGTTAACTCCATCTAGCCATCTTCTTCTTGGCTTTCCTCTTCCTGCAGATGATGTTTCCATTCTCCTGCAGTATGCTCTTGCAACCAGCAATGCAGGGTTTATTCTGACTAGGTAACCAAACCATTTCAGTCTTTGTTTATTATTAAATCTATAGGTGTTGTTCTCACCACTGTAATAACTGTTTTGTAATGGTCTCTTCTGGTTATGTTTAATACCCTCACAAATCTCACTTCACATGCCCAGCTATGTCCCTTTAATATTGATTAAGCAGGCTGGGGTATCAGATATTTTTTTTCCCTGTCAAAATGTTGCCCTTGGGTCACAGTGAAGAAAGGGGAGAGGGTATATTTTGTGACGGAGAGCAGACCCAGCACGGACAGACAGAAGTTTCAATACTACAGACCCAGCACAGACAGAAGTTACAATACTACAGACCCAGCACAGACAGAAGTTACAATACTACAGACCCAGCACAGAGTGAGTTACAATTCTACAGATCCAGCACAGAGAGACAGAAGTTACAATACTACAGACCCAGCACAGAGATACAGAAGTTACAATACTACAGACCCATCACAAACAGACAGAAGTTAAAATACTACAGACCCAGCACGGACAGACAGAAGTTACAATACTACAGACCCAGCACGGACAGACAGAAGTTGCAATACTACAGACCCAGAACAGAGACAGAAGTTACAATACTACAGATCCAGCACGGACAGACAGAAGTTACAATACTACAGACCCAGCACAGACAGAGTGAGTTACAATACTACAGACCCAGCACAGAGACAGAAGTTACAATACTAGACCCAGCACAGAGAGACACAAGTTACAATACTACAGACCCAGCACGGACAGACAGAAGTTACAATACTACAGACCCAGCACGGACAGACAGAAGTTAAAATACTACAGACCCAGAACAGAGAGACAGAAGTTACAATACTACAGACCCAGCACGGACAGACAGAAGTTACAATACTACAGACTCAGCACGGACAGACAGAAGTTACAATACTACAGACCCAGCACAGAGAGACAGAAGTTACAATACTACACACCCAGCACGGACAGACAGAAGTTACAATACTACAGACCCAGCACAGAGATACAGAAGTTACAATACTACAGACCCAGCACAGAGAGAGAGAAGTTACAATACTACAGACCCAGCACGGACAGACAGAAGTTATAATACTACAAATTCAAAATGAGGTGCTCACATCTTATAATAAAAGACCTTGGATTCTCCGGTGGCTGCATTTGGAATTAAGTTGGTGTCAATTATATCCAGGACATCATGACAGATGCGGTTTAGCTCCTGCTCAATCTGGATTCACAAACAGGCAATGAGATTAGGATCAATGACATGAATGAATCAAAATTACCTATTACAACGTCTAGAGAGACTGACCGCTCTACAGAGGGCAGCACACAGTCAGCCTGGCGGTCTTGGTTATGAACCTGAACAGGGGTGGATCTATTATTACCTGACCTTGGCTGACAAGTCTACCCAACTTAAAAATGTACCAGGAAATATCTTAGGTAGTAAAGGCAGCCATATATATATTCTGAAGATATAATCCATCAAGTGCAGATTAGACTACACAAATATGACATTATATATTCCTGGAATTAAAGGTTATTTCCAACTTTTTTTTGGGGGGGGTTTATACATATGGAAACATAACGTATCGGCCCTGGCATCAAACCCCAAGATCACTAGCTTCAAGCCCTCCAGTCTGTCAATGCCCAAGATCACTAGCATCAAGCCCTCTGCTCTGACAATCCCCACGTTCACTAGCTTCAAGCCCTCTGCTCTGTCAATCCCCAAGATCACTAGCTTCAAGCCCTCTGCTCTGTCAATCCCCAAGATCACTAGCTTCAAGCCCTCTGCTCTGTCAATCCCCACGTTCACTAGCTTCAAGCCCTCTGCTCTGTCAATCCCCAAGATCACTAGCTTCAAGCCCTCAGCTCTGTCAATCCCCAAGATCACTAGCTTCAAGCCCTCTGCTCTGTCAATCTCCACGTTCACTAGCTTCAGGCCCTCTACTCTGTCAATACCCAAGATCAAAAGCTTCAAACCCTCTTCTATTTCAATCCCCGATTACAAGCTTCAAGCCCTCTACTCTGTCAATGCCCAAGATCGAAAGCTTCAAGCCCTCTACTCTGTCAATCCCCAAGATCACTAGCATCAAGCCCTATACTCTGTCAATCCCCAAGATCACTAGCATCAAGCCCTCTGCTCTGACAATCCCCAAGATCACTAGCTTCAAGCCCTCTACTCTGTCAATCCCCAAGATCACTAGCATCAAACCCTCTGCTCTGTCAATCCCCAAGACCACTAGCTTCAAGCCCTCTGCTCAGTCAATCCCCAAGATCACTAGCTTCAAGCCCTCTGCTCTGACAATCCCCAAGATCACTAGCATCAAGCCCTCTGCTCTGTCAATCCCCAAGATCACTAGCATCAAGCCCTCTGCTCTGACAATGCCCAAGATCACTAGCATCAAGCCCTATGCTCTGTCAATCCCCAAGATTACTAGCTTCAAGCCCTCTGCTCTGTCAATCCCCAAGATCACTAGCTTCAAGCCCTCTGCTCTGTCAATCCCCAAGACCACTAGCTTCAAGCCCTCTGCTCTGTCAATCCCCAAGATCACTAGCTTTAAGCCCTCTGCTCTGTCAATCCCCAAGATCACTAGCTTCAAGCCCTCTGCTCTGTCAATCCCCAAGATCACTAGCATCAAGCCCTCTGCTCTGTCAATCCCCAAGATCACTAGCTTCAAGCCCTCTGCTCTGTCAATCCCCAAGATCACTAGCATCAAGCCCTCTGCTCTGTCAATCCCCAAGATCACTAGCTTCAAGCCCTCTGCTCTGTCAATCCCCAAGACCACTAGCATCAAGCCCTCTGCTCTGTCAATCCCCAAGATCACTAGCATCAGTCAGTGTATAATGCTTGTGTCAAATGCAACTCTCACCATCATCACATGCTCTGCCAGGTCGCAAAGGGTGACAGATGGTATACGTGCTCTCCCTCACATGTCTCTCCACCCTTCTGACCTTGATGTTGTGGATCAGTTACACTGTTACTATTCTTCAATAAGTCAATTATCTCAGACCCTATAGCCTCATTTATCTTGGTCTGCTTAGACCTGTTCTGATCTTTGGGGGGGGGGGGGAGAGGAGGGGGGTGCACACAAATTTCCTGTTTGGATCGGAAACATGAAGTACAACTAACAGAGATAAAGCTTCAGTGTGAGCATGATGAAAATTCTTCGGACTCTTCAAAGAAACAGCAGAAAGTGGAGAGAGAAGCAACAATGATATTTAATCTGTTTAAATCACAACTGATTAATGGCATCATGTGGGCTCAACAGGCTAAAAGCTGGCACTCAACAGGTGATGTTACCACTAGGTCACATGTCACCCAGAAAACAAAGATAACCACACAACAATGAGAATGCCATGTCCCACAAAACTAAACAGATGGCTAGCCTAGGCCTTACATACTTATAGAAGTCAGATGTGTTGGCCGAAAGGCACAAATATTGAGGTCATGTTGTAAACAGGCATCACGCATTTACATCTTTAAATGAAAGAAAAAGAAGAAGAAAAACTGCAGTTGCAACATTACCTATGGAGTGCCAATTGGTCTTTTAGGAAGAAAAAAATAAAATCGGCCTAACAGTACATACTCCCTGTGCCAAAAAAAAAAAAAGGCTCATAGCTTTAATAGGATGGTTCCTCAGAGTTTACAGCCAGTGAACACTTCATTATTTAAACTCACAAAGGGGAAAACAGTTTGAGCCTAATGTACAGAATGCGTAAAGAGTTCAAATTAAAACACACAAAAAGCTATTATACACATTCTTACTGTCCAGTTATGAGATACTTACAGTATGTTTGTACTCCCTTGTGATCTCCTGAAACTCCTCTGCCAGTTTGCCCTGATCTTTCTGTTCTATGCTACTGATAATCCTCCAAGAAGCTCTGCGGGCACCAATGACATTTTTGTATGCCACAGACAGAAGGTTCCGCTCCTCAACTGTTAATTCCATGTTCTGCTGAGCCACATCCTTCATGGCATGCACCATCTCTGTTAGGGAGAGGGGGAAAATATATATACATACATACATACATTATACAGTCAAGAAAGGAAAAGAAACACCAGATCATGATGGGGCAGTATGCTTTGGAGCAGGTCAACCAGTTCAAATACCTTTGGTCCCTGTGTGGGTTCCGGGGCCCCATTGTAGGGAAAAAACAAGAACAGACCCACTGCCTCCCCAAAAGCATGTCGTAAGAGTCGACTAACTGGGGAGCTTCCTTTGAAGTCGGAGTGCATCTGCCGGAGAGGCAAGGAACCAACAGTCTGTATTTAAGAGAATGAGATCTGTAAAACTGATGCACACACAACACTCAGGTTCTGGAGCAGGACTGCAGTTCAGTAGTGGACGAGCAACCAGAACTTTCCGTCAGAGTGTACAGCTGGTGAACGCGAAGAAGAAAAGAAGAAATACCTTGAAGTTGTAACAGAACAGAATGAAGGGCTCAAGACCAAGCTGGCTATGCACAAAAGCAGCTGCTGGGAGACTTTTCCAGGTCATAAGCTGAGGGTTTCTTAGCAAATGAGAAATTAGCAACAGGATTAAAATGGCTATCTACTGCTCTACCTATGTGCCAGTCCTAACCTACAAGTGTGAGTCATGGGCAATGACAACAGCTCACAGAAGCCAGCTTCAGGCCTCAGAAAGATATCTGAGAAAGGTGGTCCAATGACAAGAAAGGAGAAAGTCCGCAATCAGCGCGGGGGTACTTCAGCGGTAGTGGTACAGTCGCCAGAAAGAGGTCCGCAATTTACATATGGCTGAGGCCCTGTTAGGGTATATTTACGGCTTTGATAATTTGGGACCGTTATTCGGAGGATAGATGAAATCTGTAATATGGATGTGCATGTCTGGAATGTTGAATGCTGAATTAGGAATCGACATCACAGCACTCAGGACAACCCCATAAGCGCTCCGTCTCCATCAGCAAGCAAAGAGTTACTCAAATGGTACCAGTAACTGTCTGATTGTATATCGTCTTGGGCTATCTTCCGAATAACGGTCCCAAATTATTGAGGCCGAAAATATACCAGGGCCTCAGTCACGTGTCAACTGTGGACTTCTGCCACCGCCAAGAGTATCTCCCACGCTGCGCATAGCGGCATGGATTGGGGCTAAACTAGATGGCTGGGACTCACTGGCAAACAAAATGAAGGAAGCTGCAGGAGATGCGGTAGCTGCTGCTCGTGAGTCCCAGCCATCTAGTTCAACCCCAATCCATGCTGCGCATAGCGGCGTGGGAAATACTCTCAGAGGTGAAGGCATTTGCCAGAAGTGCGCGATTTAAGTCGCTGGAAGTCCGCAATTGACACGTGACTGAGACCCTGTGAGGGTATATTTTCGGCCTCGATAATTTGGAACCGTTTTTCTGAAGAGAACCCAGTCTCGCCTTTTTTCTGAGTGTCGGCCAGATCCCATTTTAACTCCTCGCAGTGCCATTCTGTTCTGGAACAGGAGCACAGTTCAGCAGTGGATGAATAATAAGAATATCAGGCAGGAACTTACAGCCAGTGAACGTTAAGAAGAGAAACAGCACAAGCACATGGAAATCCCTACATGTACTCCCTAACACTTCAATGAGGAAAGGAACAAAAAAAATTTGAACTTCTTCTTCTTCACTTCCTCTTTTACCGCTGTGGGTGTCGAGGGAGATATAAGGTTCTGTTTCTAGCTCTTCTGGCTGCCTCGACCATAGGTACATCGTGCTGTTGTAGAGTTTCTTTGATGTTATCCTTCCATCTTGTTCTTGGTCTACCCCGTGCTCTACGTCCTTCTCTTTCCATGTATGCTTTGTATGGTATGGTGTCACAAGGCATTCTCTCTAAGTGGGCAAACCATTTCACTTACTGTCTTTGTATGTAATCCAGAATTGGCTCTGTGCCGACTTGTTCTCTTATGATCTCATTCCTGATCTTATCTCTTATGGTCACTCCTACAGCCCTTCTCAGACATCTCATTTCCGTGGTTACTAATTTTCTTTTATGGTTTGTTGTGAGTGACCATGTCTGGCACTGGTAGCACAGAGTTGGTATAAATATGCTTTAAATAAGATGTCTCTTTGTGCTGATTGGGATTGTCTTATGCTGTAAGAAATTTGAACAAACGCTGTCAATCTTTACTCTGTAATTATCTGCTCTGCAGTTTCACAGGCGATTCAACAACCAAGCTAGGGAGTTGACATATGCTGTGAAATCTCAGACTTTTCAATGCATTCCTCTTCCGGGTGTTTCCAATGTTATGTAAATCTCTGACTTAAAAGTAGTTTATTTTGCGGCTAAGAGGCCCGCAATTTACACATGACTGAGGCCCTGTCAGGATATTCTCTTAGCCTCGATCATTTGGGACCGTTATTCAGAGGATAGCCTATTTTGCTTGTAATTTATAAAATAAATTTCAACAGATAATGACAGAATCAGGAATAGTCTGTAAGAAAGTGAGTAAAATGTCTTGTGTCTGTTAACAGCAGAGCTGTCTTTTGCCCTTTGGCACTGAAAATCCCCCCAGACCCTCCATTTCCTACTGAAAAAGTCTGTCCAGATATGGATATTCTGTTCTGTAATCAACTTGACCAGAGAGAGTTCCTTCACGTTATTATAAATTAGTATAAGTAACTCGCTGCATTTAAAGGAGTGGCACAAGTCAGAAGACTTGGTAAACTCAGTGCACAGAGAACTGACAGAATTATATATATACTCAGATCAACCACTACAAATGGCAGGATGAGTACCTCACTTGAACTCTGTACGGTAGTGTACTGGCTGCTTGGATGATCAAGATTTTGAGGTGATAGAGCATTAATTAATAGTAATGCCTGAAGAATAGGATATGGTGATGTCAGTTTTTCAACTAGCTAGCTCTACTCTTAAAATTAAAATCTTGCCACATTCTTCTGCACTCCCCCTAAAAAGGGTGTTGTTTGGTACCCCTAATGTTGTGCTGTCTACTCAAGACTGTGATGTCTTGAGCCCTTTCTACCCAAAACATCTTATTTTCAGTAAACCCCTGACCCTTCCTAATTAGTTGCTTTTTACAAGATATAAATCATGCTTGTCATTGTCGTGCTGTGGGTCTATTTATTCTGTTTACTCCCCAAAAATGGAGCCCAGTAAACCACACGTGATGTTTTGTTTTACCAATGAACCAAATATTTTATATGCATTGATCAACAGGGAAAAGACTTAAATAAATAAATGTTATTTCGTTTGTCTTGTCTGATTTGTCATGTTATTCCCCGATCGCCAACAATGTTGGCGATGTGAAAAATAAAAATTCAACATATAATAAACCAGTATTCAGTAGTAAGTGTTTGTGACGATAACGATAAAGTTCTGACTGAATAACTTATAAGAAGACGACAGTTATCTCTAATGTAAACTGAAGTAATGTTGTTATTAAGCCGAGGAATACTTGATTAAAGAAATGTTGCATTTCTAATACTAATAGCAAAGATGGCGCCTGCCATTGAAAGGAAAGGAATGCGGTAGTTAAGGAATGCTAACTTTAAAACTGATCTTTAGATTAATGCCTTAACCTCTGAGCTGTTGGAGTTAATTTCCGTAAAGATAAATACATTTTTTAAATGCACCGTTATGCTTACATGGAATAAATTAGGATTTGTTGAGTTTTTGACGAGTTTTAAATCGTAAGTGATAATACCGTTAAAAGTGCAAAAATCTAACAAATGGTGCCAACCAACGGCAGGGGTCAATAGAAAAAGACACTTACCATCATACCGCTCTGCCTGCTCAGCAAGCTTAGCTTTATAAACACACTCCTCCCTTGTTGTCATTTTAGAAAAGGAAGATGTCAATTTTACAACGACGATTGAAAGCGATTAAAAATACAAAACAAATCTGCCCTTCTAAAATGGCCGCACCCGCTACAGACTGAAAAAGTAGTTCTCCTAGTTGTAAGCAAAGTTAAATCATTCCGCCTAGTGAGCAGTCTCTAAGGCTAGGCCCATTCAAGCTTAGCAACTCACGAGAACGGGATCCGGCGAGATAGGCCTGCTTTTGTATTTTTTTTTTACATTTTTATCTCATACATTAAATGTAATTAATTATCTATCTAGTTTCAAATTAATTTCACTTATTATCAGATAGGAATCGGCAAAACTGTGCATTTATAAAATGTAGTAATCTTTCTCATCATATACTTAGGTTTTATCTCATACATTTATACCATGTATGTAGGACCTTTTTTTCTATTAAAAAAGGTGCTGGCAATCACCACAAAGGGTGCCTAATGAAAGGTGCCGGTACCCACCACATAGTAAGGCCAGAAGTACACAGTTAACAACAGGGTAGGGAAACGAGCGGTCTGACTCGAAGGAAGGAAGCACCAAGCCCAGAGACGGCGCAAATACTAAAACTTTAGTCACGAAAGTGGCGCAAATAACCCAGACCACAAATATAGAGAGAGACTGTTAGCAGCCTCGGCTAGCTAGCAGCAGTCTGAAAGTAGTCGAACTTTTACTTTTTTTTCTCAAAAGGAATTGGAATCACATAGTGTCTATTACATTATTGCTGAGAAAATAATACCTTTAAATAGCGCTGGTACCCTATGCAGTCAAAAAGAAGAAAACAAAACATGTATTAAAAAAATAAACTATATATAAATAAAATATTCGGATCTAAGCAATGGCAAACTACTGGACGTAAATTTGCCTAGAGAAACCACACAAGAGCCAGGGGCTGTTAGGGTTGCTTCTGCAACGTCCTGTAAAGGATACGCAACTAACGATTCGCATCTACCTCATCATATGTTCATTGCACGACCGCCTTCAACAGTCTTGATGTAGTTCGTTGTTATACATAATATATTTCTTGAGTTTCAATCCTTCCCCCCCCCCCCCCCATCCTTATTACAAGATAATGATGAGTAAATACATCTATAAAAGCAAAACTGTGGATTTATAAACTATATTCTCTCGACTTACTAGATCAGTTGCTTAAACTAGACTACGCGGCTACAAGGTGACGAACTCCTTGTGGTCCGGGTTTACGCCCGGGGGTAGGCAGAAAAGCCATATTTATCTTAGATTTACCGTATCTATCATGGAATCAAGGCCGAAGTGTTGCGTTATCCACAGAACTGCGCCTAAAGGGTTAACAGCTGATGGTTTTTGGATGTTTCGGGATGCCACGGGCCTTGTGCATGGAAGAAAAAAAGGAGGTGGGTGAGGGGGACGTAAGACAGAGAAGGGGATGGAGAAGAATATTACTGCAGATAGATAGGTAGCTGAACGCAGCATATTAAAATATTTGCAATGTCGGTCCTAAAGTCACTTTCTCCAATCGTGGAAGACTTTTCTCAAGTGATCGGGTTTTGTTATTCACACTCGCCATAGGCTGCGATTCCCAAGCTTTCTCATAGCACAATACAGCGCTATCACCTGGAAAGGTTTAACAACAGTCTTTCTCATAATAAACTAAGTGTTTATCTCACACGTGTGTTCCACGTAATCATAACTGCACATTTAAAAAGTGTTTTAAACTTTATAAAAGTTAGCTGAAATATAATTCGTTTCTTCTTCTTCTCCTCACATTCACCGGCTATAAACTCTGGCGGAAAGTTATGGTTGTTCATCCACCTTTGGACTTAAGACTTGTTCCAGAACCCGAGTGGGGCGTACACATCCGTTTTACAGATATGACTTATTTATTTGCAGACTTTTTTCCCCCTTGCCTGTCAGGTAGAGGCACTTCGACTTTGAAGGAAACCCCCAGTTAGTCTACTCTTACGACATGCTCGTTGAGGAGGCAGTGGATATGTTCTTGTTCTTCCCCAAAATGAGGCCCGGACCCACAAGGAGATGAAATATAATTGAAGGGGATCTCTGAAGATGTAGCTATACTCAATGGAGCAGCTAAAGGTGTCATGTTGGGGTGGGGGAGGGGGGATACGGGGTTGGTTACAAGTGGCACAAATAAGTGTTTTTAACATAACACTTGTGCGTTGGGGGAGGGTTACAAATAGCACAAATATATGTTTTTAACATAGCACAGCATTTAAACAGACAAGCTTTGAACCAACCTTGGCGTCAGCAATGGCAACCTCTTGTTGGTTTTCCACAGTACTGTTCCATTCAATGTTCCGTGCATTGAAATTCCCACAGATGAGGAGCCTGTTGCAATGGATCCCCTCCAGGTCCTTCAGCCAGTTCCACTGTTGCTTTGTAACCAAAGAGCTCACATTTATTTTGTTACAACGAAGGCTGCCATTCTCCATCTGTATTTCCTGCACATATCTATCGTCATGATTCTGAAGACGCAGGACAAGCACCTCATGTTTCAATCCCTCCTTCACTAACAAACATTGCCCATGTCTCCCATGATGTTCAGCAGGGTTCAAGTAGCTGACATACCAGGGCAATGATATTTGTCTGCATTCAGCTCATATAGCAACCTCTCTAGTATTAACCTCTCTAGTATGGGGCCTCTCTATCTGGCACTGCATCAATTCCAAAAGCACACTCGTACATGATTGAGCCCTAGCCGTTCTGTTTTTCGCTTAAATCTCCTAGCTCATGTCCTTCTATTTCTCTGCTTTCTTCTCTCCCCATGTCCTCGTTTAGAATAAATGTAAGGACATCCACCAGTATACACTTTTCATGTCTTCAGGCGTATCCGGCTTATATGGCAAGACCTATGTTTTATATACCAATCGATACTTTGAGGTAGATTTGGTCATCATCACACTGACTGCCTTTACTTTCCAGGACTGCACCTGGTACCCACTCAAGGCTGGGTCTACCTGGGAGTCAAGGTCTTTTTTTTTTTTTTTTAATGAGGCCAGACGAGCTGTTAACCAGAAGACAATGAGTATCATCAGTACGGAAACTCTTCGCTGTCTGTCGAGGAGGGAGGCCAAGCTAATATGGGCTTGCCATGAATGCTGTGATGGTGAACCTTTACTTAGGTGAGCCAGTTTCAACTCTTCCCCCCCCCCCCCCCCCACCAGTGCCAGTGCGGACTTGAACCCAAAACCGTCGTGCGAGCATTTAGCCACCATGCCTTGTCGGCTACCTTTGGAGTAGATCCAGCATACAGAATAGAGGGAAATGATATGCTAGAGGCACTAACGTGGGGCTTTGAGAGAAAACTAAGCACATCCGGTGAGCCAACGGAGGATTAAAACACGCTGTCTTTGGATAATCCACGCATTTGGAAAAGCCCAGAACAGCGTAATTAGAATGAACTTCTGCCATTATTCTTCACAATCCACCAGACACTACATTTTAGATTCCGGTGATGTTTAGATATTTTAGGATGTTTTATTTTATTTTCTTCTTCTTGGTCCATGGTATTCTGAGAATATGTTTACAGCATTTCAGCTCAAAACTCCCTTTTTTCTTCTGGTTTTTCTGTGAGACTTCACGACTCACGTCCGTATTTTGCTACAGGGAAGATGCATGCTCTCAAAATGTTAACATTGATTTCGTTGCTGGTACTGAAACGAAGACTTTCAATACTGTTTCATCTTTGCATTGCTATGGCTATCCACTTTTAAAATTCCGTTCAACAGCCTCCATTGCTGTTTATTATGGAACGTAAATATTTAGAGCTTGTGATATTTTAAATTCTTTAATATTTATTGTTATTTTTTGGTTGACTGACAGTTTTATCTGGAAATGTTATTGCGAACGAAACTCATCATTATTTGAATCGCCATCAATAACTGAATTTATAAGGGCTGTGAAACTCTGGACAGTATGATAACCAAGAGAAGATGAAAATGACTTGGCCACGTCATGAAAATGAATCCTGATATTTCTGCCAAAACAGCTCTCACATGGATACCAGAGGGAAAGAGAAAGAAGAGGCGCCCAAAAACAACATGGAGACGAACGATGGAGAGTGACCTGAGTGCGGCATGTCTGACATAGAAAACTGCACTGAAGATTGCACAGGACAGGAAAGCATTGAAAGTCCTCTCTAAAGCCTCATGTGTCACTAGGCATAACGAAAATTGATGATGATGATGATACATTGAAATGGTTCGGGCATACTTAGGAAAGGGCAAATAACAGAGACGCAATAACCGTGAATACAAAGGAGTTGAAACTGTGTAGAGTACGAAGTAAACTAAAGAAAGATAATCGAGAGATGATATCCATGCAAAACTACGAACTCTTGGATTCACCAATTGGAAAGAAAAGGCAAATAACCGATGAATGGAGGCGAGTGGTAACTGCAGCAATGAAGCGTTAAGTTAATGGATTGCTGGAGCAGAAAAAGAATATTCTAATAGTATAGTTAGTTCGAACAAGATTCTGTTGGGATAAACATGGGAAGTAGAGCTTTGTCGACAAGCTTCCTCTTCTTAGCGTTTACCAGATGAAAAATCCGGCAAAAATGCATTGTTGTTAGTCCACTTCTCTTTTCCCAGAACCTGAGTTAGGCACGTGCATTTGTTTAAAAATCTTTTTATTTAACGTGCAGACTGTTGGATCCTCGCCTCCCAAGCGGACGTACTCCGACTTGAAAGGAAACAATCGGAAGAAGTGCATGAAGGACATACAATCTGAGTGCTACTGCTACGATCGGAATTATAACTTTGGCTGCTGAATATGAGGATGAATCTCTTACGGGAATGTCCCGAGTGCTATGATATTGATGTTTAACTCAGAAAAACTCAACACCCGTGTGGGTTCCTTGGCCCCATTGTGGGGGAAAACAAGTATAGACCCACTGCCTGCCCAAAAGCATGTCGTAAGAATCGACTAATTGGGGAGCTTCCTTTGAAGTCGGAGTGCATCTGCCGGAGAGGCAAGGAACCAACAGTCTG